CACGGAGGCCATCCAGCCATGGCCTTCTGAGTTCCCTGCTCCGCCGTGGCCTCCTGAACTGTATGCTCCGCCATGGCCTCCTGAACTGTATGCTCCACCATGGCCCCTGAGCTCCCTGTGCCACCATGGTACCCTGGACTGCCTGATCCGCCTTGGAGGTATTCCTCGTGTCCCAGTCCTGCACCAGCCTCCAGGGCGCCCACCCTGGAGGATGTAATGCCGGGAGTAATGTCAGACTCTGTTCCTTGTTTTGTGTGTGTTTTGCTTCCCATGTGCCTTCCTTGCCCTTATTTGGTCCTTCCGGTTCCTGTCCCCATTTAGTTATATCAGTTCCAGGTGTTCCTTGCAATTAGTTATCCTCCTCACCTGTCTGCCCCTCGTTATCGGCCCTTTTTGAGTTCTAGCCCGTTCTGCTCTCCCTCGTCCGGAATTGTATATATCTACCCTTGCTACATGTGTTTTCCTTGTTCCCTGGATATTATTAAAACCTATATGTTTGAATTCTGCCTGATCCGCCTCGGAGGTATTCCCCGTGTCACAGTCCTGCACCAGCCTCCAGGGCGCACCCCCCCCGGGCGCCCCCCCCTCCCTGGTGGAATTGTTACGGCACGGGACACGCCTACAGGGAGGGGGGAGTAATGTCAGCGAATCACCAGCTCTGGATTCCATGTCCCAGAATCCTCCCCGTCTAACCTGTTCTCAGTCACCATCACCTGAGTTCTGAGTCCCCGCACCTGTCATCTGCAATCAAGTCACCATTCATAAGCACGCTCCTTCCAGTCACTCACCGTCCGGTCTACCGTTCACTACACAGAACTTTACCAGACTCACTGAATGCAACTTACCGGTTTATTCTTGCCTCTAGTTCTCTGAAGATCTTCCAACGTTGTTCTCCTCTGCTCCTGGATCCCGTATTCTCCGCAAACCTGCAAAGAACCAAACATCAATACACAGCCTAGAATCATTGGACTTTACTTTGTGTTGAATTCTCACCTGCCATTGCTCCAGACTATCTGCCTTTGCCATACCTGTCAATAAACCTGCCTTTCATTCACTTACCTGTTGTCTCCGTCTTGATCTGTGACAATGAGATTGTATCAAGATACTGCAAAACATGTTTTTTAAAAGAGCATTGTTACAATCACCATCCACTGTATTTAATTTTCTAGATGTTCAACTGTAGACCGTGTAACACCCAATATACTGTACACTTTGAAGTGACAAACTGGAAAACTTGTGGTATACAAAACGTAAACGCAGCGTACAAGGACACTCTTAGTGAGCTTGTGCTTAACTATGAATCTGTGTAATTCACAGTGACAGCTTCTTTAAATAGTTCAATGGAAGCATTCTAGTATTGTTGCTTTGCTTTGCACACACTTTGTGTGACTTTTTTCCCCCCAAACCAGTTAAGTGCAAACCATGTCCCGCAGCCTATTCTGAAGATTTTATTGGTCATATCAATCATGGTGATGACTGCACATGCACAGCGTTGTGCAATTTCTCAAGCTTTCAGGAATTCAAAGTGCATCTGAGGACATTCACACAATCAGATGTTCACTCACCGTGTGTAGTCCAGGCAGAGAGTGGTGAGGTAGCTGATGCCTACAGCCTTGCCCAGTCTTTCCAGAGACCCTTCAGTTAGTTTGCAATCAAGTAGCTCCAGTGATTTGAAGGGATAAACTGTCCTCCCCCTCTTCTCCAAAAGAAGACACTGTCAGAACAAACACATGTGCATTAAATTATACAGCTGGGTTGGTGAAATGCATCTCATGTGGTGAATTGACAATCATGGATTTTACAATTACTGTTATTTTGCACACAGTCACCTGCATTTACATTAAAACAATGTGCTGGCAGCCACCCATAACACTTTGTGATGGTGAGTTTTGCACATGCAGACAACGCATACTTCTACAGAAAATGTACAAATTTGTTTCATTCAGTGCAACTTCATTTAATTTTTCTTTTAATAATACAACTGTTTCTTATGCACACAACAGAAAGACCACATGATAGCACAATTTCCATCATAGTCATAGAGATTTAAGGCTGGTTTGTGCACTCACAGTCACTGCTAAGCAATTAGGAAGACGTCACTCAACTGGCTTAATGAAACAAATACACAGAGATCAAAGATGCAGTTCTTGACAAAACAGCTGTGTGTAATCGCTATCTAACTGTGAGAAAAAGAATAATTACATACAGGTATCTATTGTAGCCTATATGAAGCTCCCCTCGAACGCCATTCCATAGATTAGTGATGATCTACAGTAGAAAAAAAAAACTCCCAGAATCTCATCAACATCTTAAAAAATGAGGACCTCTTATAGAACTCCCAGGCACTTATTGTTATAACCGTCTGACCGGCACATATAAATCTGTGTGTGTGCCAAATTGATATGTTAGGATTGTCCTAACAGCATTCAAGTGCAGAACTTCAATTGCATGCTTATCCACCATATTGTTTTCCTTACATTCATTGTCTGTAGGTCAGTGGCATATGGCAGTGATTTTCACAGCATCAAAGCTGTTCTGGAAGTAAATCTCACCCTTTAATTGGACAGATTTTTCGATTTATATGAGCTGAAGTGTGAACATGTTGCCCCTGGAAGGGAATGAAAATGGGTGTGGACCGCAGGATAATAAAAGTGTGTCAGTAGCCATAACATATAACCAGCAGAAGCATGCGCTGTTTGAAGAGGGGCCTTTTCAACGGCTATACAGTGTGGTTTAGGAAATGAGTGGTTTATGAAACACTATGATATTACAGCATAATTTTGCTAAATTGACACAATTTTGGAAACAGAAACTTGGCCATTTCTATACATTTAAGAGGTGATCCATGGTTGATTTGTTGGTTTTAAACCTGAAGTATACTTCTAAAATATACTTCTCCATCAACTCAGAAGTTATTGATTTGATGGATTTTTCATGTAACTTATTTATTGTGAAGTTTAAGTGTGCTGTTTGAATTTGATTTTAGTAATGCTGTGCATTTTATGATATTATCAGCACAAATTCAAGTGATGTACATATAAATATCTACATCTACAGTTGAAATTAAAATATGAGGGCCACTGTTCTCCAACTAAAATTAAACACCTGAACAATTTAAACTAAGTCTTCAAGTTCCAAGTTCCACATTAAGATCTACAGGACAGTGTCTTTCCTGGAGCAGAGTTGATCTGTAACCTGCTAGGCTATTTTCAGATTGAGGGCCTTGGCACTCAAAGCCCCCATTGGCTCAAAACAAAGCTGAAAAATTGTAAGACACTGCAAGTTGGCTTCAAATGTTTGCTGATAGGCCTACATAATGTATATATCAGTTTTAAATAAATAAAAAACATCGTTTATCATGTGATGTCATCTCTCAGGTTTCTATCAAGTTCCTACAGAAGTTACACGTCTTATAGTGCTGGAAAAATAATCAAAAATTTGGCAGTAGCTGAGTAAATCTCTTGTCTTCATTACGTCTTCATGGGTTTGACAACCCGCCATAGCCTCAGAGGTATTGCGGTTCTTGTTGAAAATACAGACCAGTATTTTCAACAAGAACTTGTTGAAAAACCTTTAATCAAGAAATCAATTCCATTATGCAAATACTGTCCCTTAATGGAAAAGTTCATTTCTGAACCTGCATAAAAGTATCATGAAATTGATCCTAAAAGATATACAGATTAATGTTTTTAAAGACATCTAATTCTCTTTACATTTTTATTGTCTTAATTATGTAAAATGGTGTGGAAATGCACAGACAAAAATAATGTGAATTATGGAAAGGGAGAAAGAGAAAGCAGGTGCATTTAACATGTAAAGCCAAAATGTTTTGCAACAAAATGCCGAGATGACAGAAAAAAATATTCTGGAATCTGAAATTGTTGTGTAATGCAGAACTCTTTCCAAAGCTAAACTGATCCGGTGTTAAGATAAAATGTTAACAGTTATGCCTCATTACCATTTACTGCTGAAATAAAGGACACATATCTTACTGTGAATGATGTGGCTGAACAAACATTTTTTTGTTTGCACAGGAAGGTTTGGGTTGTATTGCAGCAGACTTGGCCGCCATGGTGTACTCTTTCTCTCTCTTGTGTGCTGGAGCAAGCATCCTGAGACTACATGATTTTGCACAACTGCCAATCACAAAACTAGGATGTACAGTAAAGTGGGATCGGTGCTCACCAGCTCAACTATATCTTTTTGCTTGAGAGACAGACTCCAGATGTGGAATTCTTGTGCATGTGTGTAACGCTCATCTCGTATAGCCATTAACAGAGGCTGAAGGCTGGGGAGAACAGTGTCTGAAGGCCCACAATCTGGAAATGACAGCATTATCTACAGGAGAGGGAGAGGGACAGACAGAGGCAGTGAGTGGGAAGGAGATGCATGCAGTAGACATTTTAAAAGGACATTAATAAAAAGCGAGTCTCATTAAATCTGTCAGTGCACATGTCCATTAAATCTGTCAATGCACATGTCCATTAAATCTGTCAGGGAATAAATGTTTCGAGAAATCTCATTGGTTCCCGCAGATCATGTGACTAAACCACATGATGTTTCAGAAGTCATTAGGTGGTCAACACTTTGATTTAAAAGTGAATAAAGGCTTACATTTGAATCCGTTCATCATACACTTCATGGCTTCAAGAAGACTCACTTAAAATTCAAAAGATATTAGGCTACACAAAATGTATCCAATGAACATTTTACTCTTTAAGTTTATGGAAATTAGAAAATAATATTGATGCCCATTGTTTTTAAAAATCAATGTTATAACACTTTCTGTAAGAAACTTCTTTTGGACAGTAATGTTGATCCAGGATCATCAAAAGATGTTGATCCAGGAACATGTCTTACTTGGCAAAATCACGGGGACCAAGAAACTTCCTCTTTTAATGAAGTCAATTAACGTTCTGAAAAATGTAAAAGGCACATCTGGGGAAGTACTATTTGTATTTGGCGTCTTGTGTCATATTTTGGCTCTACATATTTGCAGTTACAAGCCTATCTTATGTATAGCTGCTATCAAGGGCGTAGGTTTGCTTTTGACATTGGTGGGGACATAAACCCAAGGAACACAACTTTCATGCGCATCCGCATTACGATACTAAACACTCTTCGGAAATTAATTAATTAGTAACAGTTGATATGTTGACGTTAGAGTTTATCTAATGAATTGAATGCAGTGCACTGAAGCATGTCTATTGGCATGTTATCAACTTTGTTGTTTTGGAACGTGTCAGCGCTCTCCAGAGCACTGTCTGTTGTCGTAGCAACACCAAAAGGAAAACAAGCTAGATCCTCCCTCCGCCGATACAGTTCATGTACTGTGTTTATCCCATTCCTGTTATCACGTTAAAGTTAAATTGCCATAATTCAGCCTACCCTCGAGTCTGTGAAACGTAAAAGGAAATAGCATACAGGTTGTCAACATGTCATCTTACGTTTGACTAAGGTAAAAGGGAGTTATGTTATGACAGGAAGGTGAATAAATAATGAGTGAATTTTCATTTTTGGGTGAACTAATTCCTCGAATGTGTTTATTCTGTAACGAAATCTGGTGTATTTTTTACTGGTGTCAGTGTTGTATAACAGACCAAAAAATGATAGGCTATGCCAGACAGAACATTGCACAACTTCTTATAAAACCTTTTTGAAACCTGCTTCTGCAAATGCAGAGGAAAACATGTCAGGTGTCCATTTTGATCAATGCCATAAGTGGCATTTAATGCTGCCACAGTTTTACTGAAACCACAACCACTGATACCACGAAAATCAAGGGAGATCCATGATATGAAAGAGGTCTTTTCTGGGCCTCCACCTGAAGCCAAACCACAGAAAAGAGCTCATGTTTAACACTTTCCTGCTTCACCCCTTCAGGGGAATCCAGATATAAATGATTCATTAAAAATCAGTGAGTGATTTTCTGCTTTTATTTTATTGTTTTGGTCCTGTTAACAGCGTAGTAGCAGTATAGGTCCTGTATATTTTGCTGCTGTCACTTCCCAGCAGGCACACAACATCATAAGACATTGATATTTGGTTAAATTTCGGTTACGACGTCGCGTGACCAAAATTCAATGTCAATTCAACGTCTAATGTCATTGTTAATTTGATATCCAATACCGACGTCAGCTGATGTGAGTATAGTTCCTAGCCATATCGACCTAGAAAATCGCAACTTTTCATTTTCCGTCGGTCTTAGTACACGATTTAACTACAGAAGAGTCAAGTTTTAAATAGGAAAAATATAGAAACTCTTTAGTCATTTTTGAGCGAGATGCTAACGGTCTAATAAGATTCAATGATCTATGCTAACACAGCTACACAGCTCTAATATAAGCATGCGATTTCTTTCCCAGCTGTTTACCTTCACAGACAAAACCGACAGTGTTTTTGTAACTTATGTGTGTCTTTAACATGAACTTGCGTGTAATTAATGGTTTAAGCACAATAAGACATGAAAGAATTGTGTGTGCTTCGGATGTGTGTGCTTTGAAAACGGTATATCAGAAGTTTAAACTGATATGGCTTTAAAACTCATGATTTCAGCGCGATAAGAGTTATAATCAAAACCAAACAGATGTTTTTTGGCAGATAATCTAAAGCAGGAGCTGTAAAGGCACAGTCTTATTCTGGAAAAGGGGGCAGGGAGCAGCAGCTCAATTGCATTTAAAGATACATGCAAAAGTTACACTATGTACAGTAGAGTAGATAGATAGATAGATAGATAGATAGATAGATAGATATCCCACCAACAAAGCTGTTACAGCTGGATTAAAGCAGGAGGGGTTTAATGTATTGCTTTCTGTTCACTAAAGTGCCTCCCCTTATGAAATATGTTATGAAGACGATTATGAAAGGAAGATGTTCACAGAACTGAGGAGGATCTCACACCAACAACGAGACAGAGCAATAGAAAGAAAATGATCAAGACAGATCATGTTTATAGAGCACTTTGGTGCTTGTTTGTGAAGAGTTTCAAGTACTTTAGCATTTTGCCCTTGACCTTGTAAGGCTTGGGAGGATCCATCTTCACTGATAAGTCAGATAAGTGTTCAGGAGTTGCGTGTACAGGTTTGTGTCTGTATGGTATTAGGGTGGGTGCTTTCAAAGAAAAAAATCTGCTTGACAAATTTGAAGCATATGAGTATGTGTCTCAGAAGACAAATGCACAATTACGTGCTATAATGCTATTGTCTTCATTCCAAATTTCCAGTATTTGGTTTTAAGAATGCCAAGTTTAACCCTCATAGATCCATTATTTTTGACAGCCTAATTAAATTTTAGATCGTGCCTGAGGGGTTAGTCTAAGATAAACCTAGTTTAGACTATAAGGGGTTTCAAACTGGGGTCTGGGCAATTTTATTATTATTATTATTATTATTATTATTATGTTTAACAGTAAAAACATTAACTGTAAAATTTGTCAGGTAAACAAAATCTATAGCCAAGTGCACTTTACATATGCATGGGTATTATTTCCAAAAAATAGTTTCATAATTCGCTTTGGCGTCAATACAGTAATAATATAAAAGCCAAATATTTACATTTGTGGGCAACATGTTTAAAATATCCTGCTTTTTCTAAGCATTTTTATGTTTAAATGGGTCTTTACACATGAAATGTATAGCTTTCTTAATATTTTATGAAGGGGGTTCCTCGTAAAGGCATAATCATATTTGGGGTCCTTGGCATCAAAACGTCTATGATTACTGGAAAGACTTTTATAAAAGTCAAAGATTTTCAGGAGGGGGAAATTCCAGGACCACGAAACTTAAAAGAATGTCAGAGCACAATTCCAGCATCCTAGCTTGAAAGTTAAAGCATGTGTTGTTAAAATACTTAATTATGACTACTGTGAAATTTTGCCTTCATTGCAATTTTGCAACATTTTCTAAAAATTCTAAAATCCAAAATAAAGTATGACACAAAACGTTTCCTTAGCTGATCATTATTTTTGTTACATATAGCCATGATCCATTATGTCTTTGATTGTATCCGTTGCCTGTTTAACAACCCCAGATTAACAATGACTATATTGATGGCTTTATTGCTTAAATAAAATATCACATCATGTATTACTAGGGCTGTATTATACCCGAAAAAAAAAATCAAATCACCTTATTTAGATGTTGATGTATGATGGGATTTTAAGTTTTTATAGCAGAAAGCTGCTTCAAAATGTATATTCCATAATGGACATTTAAACAGCACTGTAGAAACGTATTTATATACATTAGGTTATATGATTATAACACAATGTGAATTGTAACACTGTCAGGTTACCCACTTAGAAATTAGAGGTGACACATTTAAATGATTTACGTGACAAAGACCAATTTCCAGAAAGAAATATCAACATTTCACCCGGGTATTGGAACATATTGTAATAACAGCACTCTTTACTTGCATTACTTGACATTACTTTATACAGTTCAAGGATAATGTTGGTTTCACAACCACTTTAATATGTAGCAGATGAACATGGGGGGAAATGAGTTAAAGATGTTAAAGGGGAAAAGTGTTACAAGCATCCTCGGTCTCATCAGTTTTGATTCATGCAGTGAAATCTGAGATGCTGTTTTTTAGTCTTATGTCAGTGAACACACATTGACCAATTCCTGACCATCACTGAGAGTACCAGAGATTCTAGCTGCAGGCAGAGGAAAAACATCACCCACCAAGCTCCTCACACCTATCAAATATATCATGCATCGTTGTGTGTTTAAACACCCTGCAGTATGCAGAAGAGATGAATAAAATATGCAATATGGCAGGAGATATACAGCAGACAGCTGACTGAGTTTAAAGGTCTAATTACATATAGAATCTCTAAGCTTTTATCACAATACAAAGTCATTTTTCACTCCTAACTAGATCCACCTGCTATCCATAGAGGAGCGTGTTGAACAACAGAAATAATTTACAGCCTGGCAGGAATGTGACTTCTAAATGAATTCCAGATAGAAAAGCATATGCTGCACACTTAACACCTTAACTAATACAGAAAGGCCAGGAACAGTACAGCACCTTCAGTGTTGCTATTTTATAGCACCGTTTTCGATCAATTTGTTCATACCTTAGACAAATGTTATATTAGAAAAGTAATAATAGTAATAGCCTATATTTAAAATGCAATTATTTCATACTAAATATATAGTTCAAATCTATTAACTTACATATTGCTCAAGATTTACTGATATAAAAATTATAATTAAACTTTATTTGGAGTTCTACTCATGCACAATGGACTTTTCTTAATGTTAAGCCCAAAATGTGTTTTAATGTCATGATGAGGATTGTATGATCTTTGAATAATATCGGCCTTT